CAGCAAAACCCACCGAGATAGTGAGCATTGACATTATATGCAGTGTTGCACTCCTGTAGCCAGAGAAGCCAGGCGAGGCGCCTCCTTGCATCTCTCCTTTGGGGCCAAGCTTAGTTAGCGTGATGTCTTTGAATTTGGTTTTGATTGTTTTCGTGGTGTTGTTTCCATTTACATGGTTGTAGTCTTTGTGTGTGTTATTTTCCTGATTCTGCTTGCTTCATTTTTCGTCAGTTCATGTTAGTCTTCCCATGCTTCTCTGTATTCTGTCTCCTCATATGCTAAATGGGCTAATGCTAGCACCTATCTCACAGGTTTGTTGTGAGGATCAAATGAGATAATGTACAAAGCACTTTGCAAACCTTAAAGAGCTATGTCGATGTGTGCTATTTTTATTATTCTGCCTATTCATAATTTCTTACAAAGCGGTAATATTCCATTACTTCATGTATCACTTTTTGTTTGGGCATTCCCTAATCCATAGGTCCCTGATTTGTTTCCGGTCTTTGCTACTATAGAAAAAGGCTTATATAAATACTTTGGTGTATATGAGACCTTTTTATTTATCATTGACCTCCTTGGTACGTATGCCTAACAGTGAACTCTCTGAGCCAAAGGGTATAGACATTTTAGTCATTTTCTCGGCATAATTCCTAATTGCTTTCCAGAATGGTTGGGCCAGTTCACAGCACCACCAAGAATGCTTTCATGTGCACATTTTCCCACAGACCGTCTCACATTGTTTCATCTTTTGTTGTTTTTACAATTTGAAGGGCATGAGGTGAAACTCTAGAGTAGACCCATATTATTTATAACATCTTTATCCTTAAAATTAACTAGCTTTGTAAAGAGTGGTAAAAGATAAATATTACCTAACATATTCAGAATAATAGACTAAATGTTATCTATAATTCTTTAGTTTGATATATTGCTGCTCTGCCCCGAATTGCCATTTTCCCCTGTCACTTCAACATTTCTTACACTATTACATTTCTAATAATAACCCCTTTGGTATGTTGTACCCCTTTTGGAGATTGTCAAGCTCCATAAGAACCCAGACTGTCTTATCTAGACTTGATATTTCCTTCAGCAACTGTTTTTGCAGGCAGTGACTTGGTTTGGTAGAGAGATTCATGAACTTTGATTGGATTCAGGAAACCTGGGTATGAATCCTAACTCTGACATTGACTGGCTATTAATCCTGGGCAAGTCAGTTATCTTTTTTTGAGCCTCAGTTTCCTCATCTGTAAAATGAGGATCATCTCACATAGTCTGTATCACAGAGTGATTATAAGGAAAATGCCTCGTAAACCTGGAATTACTTTGAGAATGTACTCTCAGGGCCTGGTAGTATTACAGTGTACATAACAGTAGGAGCATAAGTGTTGGGTGAGTTGGATTGTAATTGTAACTGTACCCCAGGAACCATTCTTTGTTCCTGTATCTTTTTACGCTTAATGTATCTGGATTGTAGACGAGAGGATCATATGTCTGCTTCATAATAACTCACAGTTACATGGCATTCTGTGGATCTGTTGCCATATTGCTCTGTAGGAGACCATGTACGTAAGTCTGACCTCATAAAGTGAAGAGCACCCAGAATGTGAGCCTGAAGGATCCAGGTTTGAATTCCAGCTTTGCTGTTAGCTGCTGGTGTGGTACTGGGCAGGTCAGCTTACCATGACAAGCCTCAGTTTGGCCATCTGTAAAATTAGGGCTTTGGACTAGGAGGTCTCAAATTCTTAGGGTCCTGTGAAAGTCTAGCTCATGAAGTGCTGGACCAGGAGGTTGGATTCTGCCTCTGTATAAGTTCAATGTTCATCCTATAATACATATTATAACATACTGTGTTGTAGATTATACTAGAAGTTAAACATTTATACTATAAAGCTTATTACCTTATGCTGGATTTTCATTATAGGGACTTAGCATAGGGAACTTCCAAGTCAGAAAACTCCCTCTAACAGTGTAGGGTGGTATCATTTCTACAATATATAGTTGCTGTTGCCTAGAGCACTGAGAGGTTAAATAACTTGCCCAAGGTCACACAGCCCTTATGTGTCAGAGGCAGGATTCAAACCTATGTCTTTCCAGCTCTTAGGCCAGCTCTCTGTCTCCTATCAGGGCTGCCTCTTTTTACTAGGCCACGATATATTTCTCCTTTTCTTTCTGTGTTTTCAAGACCACCGTCACGAAGCATTATGGTTCATTGCCTTTCATATTTTTCTCGTTAAGAGATTATTAGACACAGAAGCAGCTTTCCACTGCCAAGGCTGCTTCTCTCTTGGCCTCTAAACTAAGCCAGCCTTTTAAAGCCTTTAGGATGGTTAAATTTTCACAAAGGTCTTGAGGAATATTTGCCCATGAGATTAGCCAAACTGTCTTGAAGCTCTAACTTGCATTGCAAATTAATTTTTCAAATCCTTAGTGAAATCAGATGCATCTACCAATGGTTTGATGAATTGTTGGGTATTTGTTCTCCCCACTAAAACTAAGGGCAGATAGTGACTTCCCAGCCTACAGAGACGCCAGGCCGGCACGCATGCTTGAGATTACAGAGTATTGGCCAAGCCTTTGACTTAGCCCAGAACAGAAGCATGTTGTAGCCCCATAGCAAGCACTGGACCATGAAGGAGGCCTTCTTAGGGATTCACTCAAGTCTGGACTTTGGTTTGTATTACTCTGAAAGTTAACAGTTCCTTGATTTCTATCCATTGTCAAAAGAACCAGAAGAGAGAAAGATGGCATAGTGGAAAATCAGAAAACTGAGGTTTGTATCTTGGCTGTTATTTGCTGTGTGAACTTGGGCAACTCAGTTTACCACATTGGGCCTAAGTTCACCTGTCCATAAAATGAAAGGATTAGACTGGATCCCCAAGCTCTCTCTTAGCTGTGACATTCTGTGGTTCTGGATATAGTGGTATAGTTGGCTTTCTGCAGTATGTGGGATAGTGCATCTAGCACAGAGTATGGTGGTCATCCCATTTCTATCTTTAGATTATCCAACATTTGGTTAATCAACACCATTCCAGAAAACCCACTGTGTTCTTTTTCAGGTTCCAGGTGCCAGGATGATCAAATTAGTATATGTTAGCTTAGCCATATTACTGAGATGGAGTGTAAGACAGTTGGATTATGTTTAAATGTACCGGGATCCTTGTGATGAACAATAGAACTTTGGTTTCCCTTTCATTATAGTTGGGCCTGAATCCTCATTTAGGAACAGTGGAGCAAAAGAACTCATTTAGGAACCAAGAGGGGCCTTCGAACGTGGAACATCAGGACTGGGAGAGATCTTAGAACATGGAACATCAGGGACTGGGGGGGAGAACCTTAGAACATGGATCATTAGAAGTAGGAGTGGGATCTTAGAACGTGGAACATCCAAGCTAGACTATAGCTTAGAGATTATTTAGTCTGAATCTCTCATTGGCAATAGGAGGGATCTGGGATTTCCCTGAAAGAGAACAGGACATGTTGTAGGTCACACACAGTGAATTGATGGTTGAGTTAAGACCACAGCCCCAGCCTTCCAGCTCCCAGACCAGTGCTTGTTCCATCATGGTCGTCTGCCTTGAGGACCTATGTCCTTCCTGCTCTCTTCTCTGGTCTAGGAGAAACAAAGCCTGTTTGAGTTAGGAGAGTGTTAGATCTCCCTTGTTCCCTTACACCACTTCATAGGAGTTTTCCCCCAGGGTTAACTCAAAAAGTACCTGGTGGGTACTTCATGTAGTTCCTCTAGTACAGGAAGAGAATTGGGGCAATTGAAGTTTTCCTGAAGAAGGCTGTGTATGAGTTGCTGCCTGTGACATTCTGGCTTTGCTTTTATCTGACTCCCAGGGCATTTCTGAAGTCATAACAGTAATAGCAATAACAATAATGACGGCTCATGTTTCTGGAGCACTTTAAGGTTTACAGAGTTCATCAGTAAAGAATCTAGTATTCTAATCTTTGTTCTCCCTCTAATTCATCGTCTGACCTGGGACAAATCACTTTTCCTCTCTGAGCCTCAGTTCCCTCCGGGGAGCATTCAATTTCAGGTGTTTTTTTTTGTTGTTCTTTCCATTTACATTATTTTGTCATCATGCATGTTGTTTTCCTGGTTCTGTTTCCTTTGCTTTTCTGTATTCCTCATATTTGTCTTTTCTCACAGCACAATAATATTCCATTACATTCATGTACCACAGCTTGTTTAGCTGTTCTCCAATCAGTGACATCTACTTTGTTTCCAATTCTTTGCTTCTACAAAAAAAAATGCTGCTATACATATTTTTGTGCATATTTGGTAGACTTTTCTCTTTATTGTTGACCACCTTGGGGCATATGCTTATCAGTGGAATCTCTGGATCAAAGGGTATGGATGTTTCAGGTACTTTCTTTGTATAAATTTCAAAAAGCTTTCCGGAATGTTGGACTAATTCACAATTTCACCAACAGTACAGTATGTCTGTCTTGCCACAAGATTGACTATTCCTATCTTTTATCAACTCTGCTAATTTTCTGGGTGTAAGATGAAACCTTAGTGTTGCTTTGATTTTCATTTCTCTTATTAGTAATTTGGAGCACCATTCATAGGGTCATTTATAGTTTGCAATTCTTTTGAGAACTGTGTCTTCATATCTTTAAGTCGTTTATTTATTGGGGAATAGCTTTTGGTCTGTTCTGCTGGTTCTGTTAGTTGCCTATATATCTTTGATATTAGACTCCTATCAAAGATTTTTGGTGCAAAGATTTTTTTTATAGTTGATCATTTATCTTGTTTCTTAGTTGTATTAATTTTGTTTGTGAAAAATTTCATGTAATCAAACTGTATTTAATTATTTTATCTTTAGTAATTACATCTATCTCTTGTTTGGTCAATGTAGCTGTGAAAGGTACCTGATTTGGTCTCCTAAAAAGCAAAACAAAAACCAGGATGTACCCACAGAGAGTTTGGAACTCTGGAGTGATTTGAAAAAAGTATGTTTTTATGTGTAACACTATCTCCCTTGTTGATTTCACAGATTTGGTTCCGAGCATCGGTTCTGGAAACCAAATGAGACAGAAGAGGAAGTGGAAAGTACAGAAATTGCTGAGATGTTGAAGAGCCGCTACATCACCTTTGCTGGCAAGTTTGAGCCTGTGAAGCACAAGTGTGGGGCCCTGATGCCCAACGGGAGCCTTTGTGAGAGGCAGGATCGGCTGAAGGTGCGCCCAGGGCCAGGAGGGCTCGGCTTTTAGCTTTTTCCAGGGGAAAGGGGGACCTAAGAAGGAGGATAAGAGAGGATTGGGATATGGTAGGATAAAAAGGGAAAGAAGGAGAGAAAGAAAAGAGAGTTACTGAAGCACCTTTTTTTTTTAAATGGAAAGAACAGAAGGAAGGCCAGACCAGCAGGACAGCTTTAAAAGCTATAAGTAGGTTGTAGTATATGCTTAAAAAGCAAGCTGGTCATAGTAGAGACCTTTACTTCTCATGTACAATCTTTTTTGTTGTTGTTGTTCTTTGCATATATATTGTGTTTAATAAAACAATATTAAAGATATGCAGAGAGATCATCATCACTAGGAAACAGAAAATGAATCAATTATCCCAAGCTTACTCTGCTGGCAGAGGCTCAGGGTTGATTTTATACAAAGACAGAAAACTCCAGTTCTTAGTAACCCATCCTCATCTTTCTCTATCATCATCATTACGGGATCATCATCACTTGGGTCTCCCTCTTCTCTTCTTTATTCCTCTCACCTGCTCTCCAGGGAAGGATAACCTAATTTCATATGGATATGAATGTAGGAAAAAGGGAAGAATCCAGGATTTTTCCTGAAGGCTACACCCACTTAGGAACTACTTTCTTGGGATAGAAGCAGTTTGACTAATGTTGCAGAAAACAAAAGAGATCTCATGGAGCAGTAGAAGTCTGTCCAGCATAAAAAACTATAATGCCTGGAGCATCCTCCATGCAATGCCTGGGAGTCAAGCCTATATAAATCATGTTATTTTAATGATGCTTTTTCACTTGTTCTGAGAGGTGGATTGTGTTAAATATTTTAAATGATGGGGAAGAGGGCTGCTCTTAAATTAGCTTAAAAGAAACCTTGTATGTGATAGTGAGAATAGAATTATGGAAACATGCTGAAGAAGAAAGAGAATTGGGTTTGGAGTCCAAAGACATAGATTCTAATTCTTCCTCTTCTACTTAGTAATTATGTGCCCTTGGGCAAGTCCCTTACCCTTGCTGGGCCATGGTTTCCTTAACTATAAAATGGAGATGGGAGGAGAATGACAAAGAAAAGGAAACTTAGATCATCTCTACGGTCCCTTCCAACTATAAAATCTGTGATCCTGTAATCTGGTCCTATTCTTCCAAATAAGCGCTAGTCTTTACTTTCCTTTCAGAATCTCAGAGAGGAGGATTTTGATGCAGGAAAAGTCCCTTCTGAAACTCCTGACTTCTATCTTCTCATATAACTGGTCACTTGTAAAAGCATTAACAATGCTTGCTTGCTTGCTTGCTTGCTTGCTTGCTTCCTTCCTTCCTTCCTTCCTTCCTTCCTTCCTTCCTTCCTCTCTCTCTCTCTCTCTCTCTCTCTCTCTCTCCTCCTCTCTCTCTTTCTTTCTTTCTTTTTCTTCCTTCCTTCCTTCTTTCCTTTCTAGGGAAAGTATGAAGAAGTTTTGGTAGCACATGAATTTTTAGCCTTGTAATCTCAAACAAATTCTGAGATTTTAATTTCCTATGCCAAATTAGTCATTTCTTTCCAGAGGTCCTAGATCAGAAATAATTTTGTAACATGGCATGAAGGAAAGAGCGCTGAGCTTGCAGCCAGAAGATCTGGGTCTCCTGCCCAAGGTTAATCTGTCCCTTTTCTAGCTTGTCTGGCACTTCAGGCCACATGGAAGAGTGGAGAGAAGGCTGCATTGGGAGTCAGAGGAGCAGAGTTTAATTGTGACTCAAGCAAGTCACATTATTTTTCTGGCCTTCACTTTTTTGAGGAGATATATGATCCTGTGAGCTTGGGTGTCTCTGGGCCTTAGTTTGCTCAACCATAATATGAGAGGGTTGGACTAGTGGTTCTCTTGGCTTCCTTGGAACTCTTAACAGCCGTGATGTCTTTATAGAATTTGAACTTCTTGATTTCAGGAGTGGGAATTTCTTACCTATCAACATGGGAGCAGTGAGTCACAAATCACATTTTTGTAGCACTTTTATGGTTTACGAAGCATTTTCCTCAGGACATACCAGGAGATAGGTAGTACAAGTGAAATTATTACCTTATTTTATTTTTTAATCTATAATTTTATTTGATTTTATTTTTAATTAGCAAATCATCATCATCATCATCCATAAGCATATATTAAGTTGCTACTATGTGCCAGGCCCTGTGCTAAGCCCTGGGAATACAAAGAAAGGCACAGACTTGGTCTTTGCCCTCAAGGAGCTCACATTCTAATGGGGGAGATAACATGCAAACAATTATGTACATGTCTGATATATACTGGAGAGTGGAAAAATCATCTCGTTGAAGATGAGATTTGAACTGAGTCCTGAGGAGAACCAGAGAAGCCAGGAGGCAGAATTGAAGAGGGGAAGCATGCTAGGTATGAGGGACAGCCAATGAAAAGGCATTTATTTTCTCTGGCTCCCACCCTCTCTCCCCAACTTGAAAGAAAAAAAGAAGAGAAAAACCCTGTAACAAATATTCTGAGTGAAGTAAACCAAATCCCCACATCATTTGTGTCCAGAAATGTATGTCCCATTCCACGTCTTTAATCCATCTTCTCTCTGGTAGGAGATGAGTAGCTTAGATCATCATCAGTCCTCTGTAATCATGGATGGTCATTCCGTTGGTCAGAATTCTTCAGTCTATCAGATGTGTTTGTTTACTCCTATTTTACAGATGAGAAAAATGAGGCCCAGATTGGGTAAGTGCCTTGCCCAAGTGGTCACCTAGCTAATAAGTGTCTGAACCAGAATTCAAACCCAAGAGTCCTAACTTCAGGTCTAACTCACCTTCCACTAAACCATACTTCCTCTCCCTAAGTGTTCCTGGCCTTCCAGCATGGATGGGAGGCTGTTGTAGACATGGCTTTTTCCCTCCTTGATCCAAACCCTTTTTATTTTTTCTTACTAGTGCCCATTCCATGGGAAAATCATTCCCCGGGATGAGTGTGGAAATCCTATCAACCCAGAAGACAAAGCCAGAGAGGAAAAGAAGAAATTTGAGAAGCAAGCACAGCACCCAGGTGGGTCTCAGGTGGAAGAAAGTGAAATGGGGTTTCCAGGAGGGAGAAGGACCGGTTACGGTGGACATGTTTCCATTAAAACCTGATAAAGAGGGAACAGCCGACTCCCATGTAAATGGCAAACCCTGTCCTCCCCTCAGTCATTACCATCCTAACGGTAGCCCTTCCTCCCTTCCCTCCTCCTCCTCTGGCACTTGGTGCTCTTACCATAAAGCTTGTGGTTTCAGAAGTAGAGAAAGGGAAGGAATTGGGGAAAGCGGGAACAACATAGAGAAACTAATACTGAGAAAATTCCCAGGCAGGCTTGATCTACCCATTGCTCCCAGATAACCTGTTTGAAATTCTACTAATCGGAGATTTGAATTAACCACATGGCCTCATTTAAAAATTCAGGTGCCTTTGGAAATATTAAGTGACCATCAGTCATTCACACCTTAGTGTAAATTAGCTCAATAAACTTTCCTTTTTTCCTAAGAACTTAACTGATAGCTTCACTGAGGTTTGATTGTGGTTGGAAAGGAGAGGGCACTGAAAAGTGACAGCTGGTATATGTGGAATTATACAAGAGGATTCCAAAGATAACCTTCCCCTATTTCAGAATTTTGCCTAGAGCTCTGTGCTGTCCTCCCTCCTCCCTCCTATGAGGACCTTGCTTTCTGCCCTCCTGCTGCCACATAACCCAACTTAGTCTTGTAGTTCCATTTTAGTGCTAGTTAGCTACTTCAGTGATTCTGTAGGTATGGCTCCCCCCTCAGTTTTCTCTAATTCCAACCCTAGCAGGCTTTAGCAGATGGTTTTCCTAAGTTGGCTGTGGACCAAAAACATTGCTTGGTGGCCAACTCTCTAAGGGTGAACTTCTCCCCCTGTATCTGGGCTCCTCCTAGATGGTGGATGTATGGCCCATTATCAGCTTGTACTTGGAGGCTTTCCAGCTTGGGTACCACTTGACAAAGCTTGTGTTTTTCTGGCCCAGTCTTTTTTTTTTTTGGCAGGTGGGGTTAAGTGACTTGCCCAGGGTCACAGAGCTAGTAAGTGTTAAGTGTTTGGCCTGAGGTCAGATTTGAACTCAGGTCCTCCTGACTTCAGGGCCGGTGCTCTATCCACTGCACCACCTAGCTGCCCCAGGCCCAGTCTTTGAGAGCCCATAGTAATTTCCATGTCACAATGAGCCATTGGAGGAAGACTTCAGTGAAGGGCTTTTTGGACTGGGCTAGTTCCAGAGGACAGAACTAGGGGCAGAGGGCAGAAGTTGTAGAGAGGAAGATTTTGGCTTAATGCAAAGAAAAACTTTCTAGCACTGTGGTTGTCCCAAAGATATATATATATATATATATACACACACACACACACACACACACACACACACACACACACACACACACACACACACACACACACACACACACACACACACACACACACACACACATGTTGTTTATAGCTCTGGGAAACAGTGGGCTCCCCTTCGTTGTGGAGGGTGAAGTTCAGATAGAGATTGTATGACACTTGTCAGTCATCTTGTACAAGAGATTGTTGTTCAGGAATGGGTTGTACTTGATGCCTCAGAGAGTCCTTTTTAGTTCTGTGATTTCTTGTTATAAACATTTCATCAGACATAGGTTGGACTAGCTAGCCTCTTAGATTCTGTGATTATGTGCCCCTTTCTAGCAATGGAAAAATGGGCCCTGAGTTCCCAACCACTGACTTAGAAATAAGCTTTTGGAACTCAGGAACTCCATCAGTTTGAGGCAGACTGGTATGTGCTTTCATGAGAAGTATTAGGATTGATTACATGATATTTCTATGTAAGGAAGATACATATTGTGGAAGGTCTCCTGCTTCCTAGATTGATTTAATTATTAAACATGTGAACCTTTCTGTTCTGGTTCCAGTTTCATAGTGCTATTGAATATAAAACATGAGTATATCCTTCACTTTCTGGAAACAGTCTCATTTTTCCTTGAAGACTGGGTCACTTTCATTTGCTTGTGCGTATCCATGTTCTATACATCCTCCCTCTCTCTCTCTCTCTCTCTCTCTCTCTCTCTCTCTCTCTCTCTCTCTCTCTCTCTCTCTCTCTCTCTCTCCCCCCTTCCCTCTTTCTCCCCCCTCTCTCCCTGTCCCTCTCTTTCTCTCTTTCTTTCTTCTTCTCTCCCGTTCTCCTTCAGAACCCTTCCTCTGACACCTAATTGTGTTATGGACATTCTCAAAGGCTATTTCAGTACAGTCAGCTTCTAATACCTTCTGTCAAGCGAGACAGACCTTGAGCACAGCCCAGTGATGGACTCTTGTCTAAGGACCAGCTGAGCTAAGTGTAGGGAGTCTTACTTGTCACCAGATGGTTGGTCACAGGGTGATGCATTTTTCAGCCACTTCATGAATTCATGAAGACCATCTATCTCCTAGAGAAGTTATGATCTGCATTGGTGGAGAGAAGCCCACCAGTGGGGATTCACAGATCCTTAAAGGATTAAAGTTTTTGTTTTTTTGATGAAGCAGTTGAGTGAGGCAAGAGAAGTTAATTGACTTAGCCATAGTACTTACTTAGAAACTAACCTCATTTCTTCCCAGTGAGACACATTATCTCTTAGCCCGCCTGTGTCAAATAGAGTTCCACCCATTCTGAAGTGATTTTTAAACTGGCAATTGGTTCAGCCATTAACCATCCTGGAGACAGGTTTTCAGAGGATGAACAATAACAATAATGAGCCATTGTGAAATGTTGACTAATTCCCAGCAAATGAAGTTCTAAATCCTTCGTCTGGCTCAAAGGGGAGATAGCCCCATGGCTGCTTGCGGAGACCATGCAGGTAAGAATGTGCAGTTAGGAGAAAGACTTCTTGCATTTGGCTTCTTAGCAAGTGGTCAGAGGTAATAAAATTAGAGTTTTCAAAAACCTGAAGAATATATTTCAACTTGGAATCACAAAGCACAGAGCCGGGAGGGTTGTTAGGACAAAGAACAGAGCACTAGGGCTAGAAGGGATCCAGGGATCACTTTAGTCCAAACACAGGGTCGTTAAACTGGACTTCCCTGAATAGGGTCATCAAAAGCAAGTCAGCCTTTAACTGCCTTGCCTTCTGAAGACTGTTTTCTAGCCAGTAAATATTGAGCTTAAATCACATTAAATTGGTGAGTGTTAACTCAGTTTCTTTTGAAAGTATAGCTAAATACATGTTACAAGGGTTTTGTTTCATTTCTTTTTTTTCCCCCAAAGGGTGGAAGAAGTAGAAGGGAGAGAAAGTAGATTTTTGTTAATTGAAAAAAATTAATTTTTTTTTAAAGAGAGAAAATGCAGCTAAGTTGATGTGCTACTAGGTATGATAAAATGCACTTGTATTCATTAGGTGCTCGGAAACCAGAACGTTGGGCTCCTACCCTCTTTTAAATGCACAGGCTTGGTGCCTGAGTTGCTCTTTAGTACAGCCTTATCATGTGAGATAATCTTTCCTGCTGTTGGACACTTGGGAAGTATCCTTCCTCGCCCTCGTCAGCATCAGAGACCATTAAAGGGAGGCAGTGGGTTGTTGTTGAGTCATTTCAGTTGTGCCCACTCTTTGTGACTTCATCGGGGATTTTTTTGACAAGGATCCTGGAGTGGTTTGCCATTTCCTTCTCTAGCTCATTTTACAGATGAGGAAACTGAGGCAAACAAGGTGAAGTGACTTGCCTGGAGTCACACAGCTAGTTTAAGATTTGAATTCAGGAAGATGAATTATACATACTCTGCCACCTAAGATTGAGAGTCAGAGGGCCTGGGTGTGACTCCAAGCTTTGCTCTTTATAGCCAGTGGGACCTTGAATAAGTCCCTTCCTTTTCCTGGACCTCAGTTTCCTCATCTGGAAAATGAAGGGTTTGTACTAGACAGATTTTAAGGATGCTTTCATCACTAAGTCCTAAGAATATACTTATTAAGCGTTCTGTGGGAGTCCAGGTCCGCCGCCTTATGCTCTAGGTAATACCAACAAATGCCACAGATTAATGGGGTTCAGAGATAGAAGAGACCTTTGAGATCATCTGGCTGAACTCCCTCACTCTGTACATGAGGAGCCCGAGGCCCAAGCAGATCCCTGGACCTGCCTGAGATCACACAGGCAGTTAAGGAATAGAGCCAAAATTCGAACCCCAGGCTTAGGACTCCAAACATGCTCTTCTCCTACCATCACCTTGTGTACTTATGGATGTCATGTCCCCATTCACTGGTTTTTAACCTCTGTGTGCCTCAGTTTCTTTGGTTGTAAAATGGGGATATTCATAACACCTGCCTTAGAAGATATCATGGAGATAAAATGCGATAATATTCCTATGAAGAGCTTAGAACAGTGACTGGTACTTAGTAGGCACTACAGAAATACTTCTTGCCTTGCCTTGCCTTCTTCAGTTCTGTGTTAATGCTTCTAAGTTCATAAGATGTTATTTCCCCTGTTTGTCTATCTTAGTGTGTAATAAGAGTTCAATCTTTATTTTATTGGAAGAATTTTTCCAAAGGAAAAAATTACACATTTGGAACATGATCTTAGCACTGCTTCCTTTGCTCTGGGCTCCTTTGGAAGAGAAATTACATTTTCAACCTCAGGTGATATAACGTTGAGGAAAAGCAATAATGAATACACTGGGAGAATAATAGAGTTCATGGGAGTACCCGGCCCAGGTTTTTTGAGCAACAGTGCCACTCTCTGCTTTTTATTTGTCATAATTAGTGACTGCTGTGGGTGTATGGGGATTCTTGGTCTAAAATATGAGATTTTAACTAAGTGCCCAGAAATGGTCTGTGAAACCCCAGGCCTGAAACAATGCCCTGTGAGGGATTACACTGACCCTGCTAATCTGCCGCGTTCATCCTTCCCCAATAGTGCGCACAGGGCAGCAAATTAAGTGCCTATTTTTTGTGTCAACCCTGAAGAGTATCTGGTTTTTCAGCCCTTAGTGACTTGTTAACAAACAGGTATCAGGACAAGCGAGGAAGGCAGGCCTCTGGCCAGTCAGATGTGAAATAGCA